AAAAAAAAGTTAATTTTTTCCAAATCTCCAAAATAATCCAATAGATTATTTCGTTTAAAACGTAAAAATTTAAACTATCCAATAAGCGTTTTTAAATAATGTTCGTTTTCGATGTGATTGGTTAATTTTATTAAGGTAAAATTTAAAATTTTCTTATCTTAAATTTCATTATCTCATTAAAAAAAAAACATTTAAATTATTTGTTTATTTACGAATATTTAATTGTTATATATAATTTATTTAATTTTTTTTATAGTAAAAACTAATTAGTCTAATTAACGGGAATGCGTCATATTTAAAGAAATAAAATTTTATAATAAATAATTTAAATGTAGTTTATTTAATACTTAATTTATTTTAATTAATTAAGTAATATAATCGATTTTTTAAAACATCAATATTAAAAGCTTAATCTCAATTGTCTTAAAAAGGTATCTAAAGTAAAAACTGATAATTATCCAATAAACATTAACGTTTGAAAAGAAAAAAATTTAAATTCACCAATTAAGTTAGAGATTAAATGATCTCTCGACGATCGATTGGTTAATTTTATTTTTCTAACAAGACAACATGGAAAATAAAAAATAGAAAAGAATTCTTAGTAGAAAGTGTGTTAAGGAATGAGTTGTCATTGGATAATTTTGAACGGCTCCTGTGTGAGTCATAACTACGTCACCGTAGGACAGATGTTCCATCAAACTGTTAATATTAACATCAGGAGGCTCTGCACTCATCCCTCGATCGATCCTTGTTTTGCCACATGCAATCCCCGCCCCCTACTATCACTGATAGGGGTTAGAGAGGATCCTCGGTTACTCGTGAGTCACGTGATCGGAGCTGATGCGAACGTTCTTGGAAAACCGGGCGCGTTCCCGTATTTGGGATGTTTTCTCTTTCTCTCTCTCTCTTGGGAACGCCGCCTCTCCCCCTGCCATCTCGTTCCTCCCGACGTGTAAAACTCTAGCCAAACGGATGCACGGAAAAGGGCGATTAAGAAGGAGAAAATGAGTTTTCTGGGCTAGTAAGTGGAAACCGAAGAATGCCTTCCATCGATTCCTCGCGTTTTGTTAGTGTAAATTGCAAATGGCACCTCCTTCTCTCACCACTTTTAACTCCGTTTCTTATCACTCGATGCGGGGAAAATGGTTTCGCCGTTCGCGTCGCGTCGTCGCGTAGCGGCATGCGTGTGACTTCCGACATATACTAGGAAGTCACGTGAGTAAATTATAACCCGTCGTTTGCCAGATGCGCGGTCACGTGCTAAGCTGGGCTTTATAAACCCGTGCAGGTGATTCTTTTACCCACACTGAAGTCACGTGGTGCATTCTGCGGCTTTTACGCGGCTCTCGGGGGGGGAGCTAATGACACGCGACCCTCTCCAGCGCTTAAAAATCCCCTCTCGGTAAAATAAAAATGCGAAGAACGCGATATTAAGAAGACCTTGAACCCGTCACGGGGGAGAAGGATCTGGAATCTCCGATATCGGAAGCGTCGCGAGGGTGGCAGTGGCCCGTCTACGAAGATAACCGGGCTATTTCTGTCCGGTCACGTGAATATATCGTCTTTTAAACCTGTTCTCGTCAATAACTACAACCGACGGTCACGTGACAGCGAAAGCGCATCCAAGAAACTTCGAGTAAGGCAAGTCGATCGCGGTTTCACCGGTTCTTTATTATTTTACTCTATTCACAAAGACCGGTTTCGTAACTGGTCGTCACGTGATCGGTCGAGACGGCGTTATGGTCACATTGTATCACGTGATCGGCGTCACCGTCGGAGGAAAGCGCTTACTTTCGATGCGATCGCGCGACGCGTCGGAGGACTCGCTCGGTTAATCGCGAGAATCACGTGAACGGGCAATTTTTCCGGGAAATAAAAGAAAAACTGGCGAGGTTGTCCCAATTTGCCGATGATCTAGCCTTGAATTAGAGAGACCAGGCGTCCCTGACACCGACCGGCGTTTCTCTATAACGAAAAAACGTGGCAGTTTGCTCGGTTCATGCGACCGGAGCGAAGAATTGACGATGATCGCTGTCACGTGATCGTTTTCATACTCCATCTCTCCACTTCTGGTCACGCGATGCCGTTTACAAATAATGCGAACGGGAAGGGCGAAATGGCAGCCCGTATTTGGCCACTCGTGTGCGAATCCATTTGTTTTTCGATTCGAAGGAATATTACAGAAATGGCGATCACGTGATCGGAATACCGTACAATGATCCCGCATATCGATGGATTCGCCGAAATGAGATTAGCGAGTACTTGCACGTTTAATCCGATGCTAATGCCGTCGCCATTGTGTGGCAAAATTAATCCTCTAGTAGTAACTCTCCACCACGCGAGCGTACACAAAAAATCTGCATCTGTTTAACATTCGACTCGTAATTCTCAAAAGTTCGATTCCGGCGCAAATCTCTGCCGACACCGATCGTTATTGCTAACGAAAAAAAAATTTTTTTTTGCTTATTTATGGAAGCTATGGTTCATATTTTTTAATTTCTGGATATATAAAAATTTATTTTTATATCCATCAAACATATATTCACACGATTGTTTCGTTTCCATATTATAAAATTATATTAAGAAATTGTTACGATTTCAGGGGGCGCTGAGGTTAACAGCGCCCCCTGAAATTGTAACAATTTCTTAATATAAATGCATGACGTAATTTAACTCTCCGAAGTCCTCACCCGAAAGTATTATGTGACGTCAGAATTTTTGTCGTAATAATCCTTCGCTGCAGGCGTATCGTGATTTTTGTGATAAACTAGAAAAATTGTCTACATCTGGATGATGTTAAAATATCGGGCCACACAATCACACGAATTTAATACATTTTTTTTTTCCTTCATCCGAACACTTTTTGTATCGAGATGATAAAATGGAGGAGCCATCGTAAAAGATGTCGGCTCAGATGGAATTCTAGTTGTATTGATTTAAGTGAGATTGCTTATCGTTTAAACATGTTTAGAGGGCGATCGAGCTTAAACTTCATTAAATTTATCTTCGTCAATTCCGAGTGCTCGATCGCTTCACGTGATTTCGCCGCCGCTTATCATCCTAACTGCATCCACGTGATTTCTAATTTGTACATTTCGCTTTATTAGGTGATCGGGATGTGTCACGTAATGTCTTTTGCAAATATTGAATCCCCGATATAACGTTATATTATAACAATCTCGGCTTCGAACTTTGAAACATAAAACTTTTGAAGTTTTCGTTGTTATAAGCCGCTGGTGAGTCACGTGATTTTCGTTAATTGAAAACCAGTCACGTGACACGAAAATCACGTTATTATTGATAATAATATCACGCTGGAATTGATCGACTTCGCTTCCGCGCCCAGTGCATCACGTGACTCGACTGTTTTCGGACCAAGTCACACGAAAAATCAAAACGTCACGTGACTTAAATTCGCTACCCGTTTTAAATCAGACGTTACAAAAATAATAACATAAATAATTTATAAAACATTGGAAAAATATTTCCGAAATTAATGATCAAATCTCGTGCTAGAACAACGAATAATATATTATTTTTCTATATTAAAAAAAAAAAGAAAAAAACAAATAAATGGCAAAAAGAATTAAATCTGTCGTAGTTTCATTTAATTAATTTATATATTTTGTATTTTATAACTCGGACAGATATTTAATAATTTATTTAAACGCGTTTAGTAAGCATTCATTAACTATATTTAACAAATTTTGTTTGCTATAATAAACAAGCTTAGAAAATATTAAATGTTGCCAGGTCGTTACAGAAATCAGATACTTTGAAATGTTATTTTAATAATCCAAAACAAATTTTATTAGTCTAAACCGAACAAATTGTATTTATTTAATTTGATCTTAAAACGGATTTAACTCGTTATTTTCCGATTTTCGTAACGATTCGATCATTTGTAAAATTTACAAATATCCGAATCAACAATTAAAAATGTTTTAAAAATTTTTTATTTTATTTTTTATATTTATTCCGACATATACTAGGAAGTCACGTGAGTAAATTATAACCCGTCGTTTGCCAGATGCGCGGTCACGTGCTAAGCTGGGCTTTATAAACCCGTGCAGGTGATTCTTTTACCCACACTGAAGTCACGTGGTGCATTCTGCGGCTTTTACGCGGCTCTCGGGGGGGGGGCTAATGACACGCGACCCTCTCCAGCGCTTAAAAATCCCCTCTCGGTAAAATAAAAATGCGAAGAACGCGATATTAAGAAGACCTTGAACCCGTCACGGGGGAGAAGGATCTGGAATCTCCGATATCGGAAGCGTCGCGAGGGTGNTTTTCAGAAATAATAATAAAATATTAATCAATCACGTTTTTTTTGCACAAAATTAATTAATAAACAAGTTTTCGATGTTTATTATCGCCACCGAAGAAACCTCGGCGACTCCATAAATATTTAATTGTTGCCAGCTTATTAATTTTTTCCAGCATTTAAAAACTGATAAAAACGTCAAAAACACGTTAATAAGAAATTATATTATCTTAACCGGGGAATTTATGGACGATAATTTTCTTATTTTATGGTAAAAAATACGAAGCGATTTTAAAAATAACAACTCCATAAATGTTTGCAATTACCGGATTATTGTAACAACGAGTGTAATTGAATTTTTAAACCGCGGACGAAAATAAGAAAAGGCCGACTGGAAGGATTTTAATTTTAAGAAAAATAAAAGGAGGCGATTTGAGTTTTTAGTAAGATTGGGAAGGCGGCAAGGCATGGAGAGAAAAACGTGTCGGAAAGGAAACGTTTGTTTACTATTTACGCGAAGACAATAAATGCTTATTGGAGAGGCGCCGAATCGATAGGAACGAAGCCAATGGACGCGTTCGGCGTCGACCTCTTTATCCCGCAAACATATTGCAATTCGCTGCTGTAAATACACGAAACGGATCGAGAGCCGACGTGGTTGCCGCCTCGCAGCCAGAGCCCAGCAGCTCTGAGTCCGAGAGTTGCTGTTTTTTCCTCCCCTCCTCTACCTCTATTGTAATCTCGTACAATACGAGACTGCGCGAGATCCGATCGGCCTCTCCCGTTCGCGTTTCTATCGGGCCTTCTTACGGACTACGTCACACTGGCCGTGACTGGAACCTAGGTTTTCTCATCAAAACGTAGAGTGAAAACGATTAGTTGAAGACAAGAACCTCCGATTGTGTTTGTGTTAGAAAACGAAGCGCAAGTAGGACCAAGTTGCGGCGCAGTCGTCTACGTCGACGAACGCCTTGTTTGCCTTTGTTTGGAAGAACGCGGCCAGGCTCTCCTGACGAAGGTAAGAGACCAATGTAATCGGAATGACACAATTGACGCTCGATTACCAACCATTACCCGCGTAATGGTGGGCGGTGTGTTCCGACTCCACCGTTTTAACCTTAAAAAAACTTTCGTCTTCTCTTCCACCGTCGACTAAACTTGTATGTCGCTTCACACGGGAATGGGTGGTCCGTCTTTCTGGGCGATGATTGCTGTGACAGGCGACCCAGTCAGTAATGGCCGACAGTCTGGACGTGGCGTTTGGCGCCACAATCAGCCACTTTCCATCTTTGTTTTCGTTTTGTAGTTTCGCTCTCTCCTACGCTCCCGAACCCGTAGCCACCTCCGCTCTCCCTCGCTCGGCGCTACCGCCGCTTTTTTTTTTTTATTCTTTTAAAAATCCAATCATTGTTACTTGTAGGCAAATGGCGCCTTGTCCCGCTTAGTGATAACTAACGTCTTAATGACGCCATGGTTTCTCTCTTCCACCGGCTCACTCGACTTGACATCTGGTTTGGTCGGCAGCCGTGCGGATAAGTAAAAGACGTCAGCATTCCTTCGCTATTGTTTTTTTTATTGTTGCATCACTTATGGATGCGAACGGGACAAAACTATTTAGCGCTGTCTTACCTGTAGAATGTACTGGTAGCAAAGTAGGTAAGGTAGTTGGGAGGGCGCCAGATTGGGTTCTATTGTTTGTTAATAAGGAGTGTTTCCTGATGGGACATTCCTGCTGCTACTCCGCTACCTGATATCCAAAATCGGGACCAGTTTATACCGAGAGTAGATGACCTTGGCGTCCCGTCTTGCCACCCCTTTTGCGGGTCGTTTATTGACAACTGCCGAGATTGGGCATTTTATTCCGACCGTTCTTTTCGGAAATATCCGGAAAGACATTAGGGAAGCTGACGTCATGGGCGGAAAAAAATGAATCATCTCGAGCGTGACTGTGGAGTTTTTGCAACAAGTGCCGATTTCGGAAGGGTTGAAGGTGTTTACGAAAAGTCACAAATAGGAATGGACTAATCGATAAACCAACCGCCTACTTCCGGTTGCAGGGAGCGGTGTTTTTTTTTATTTTTTTAAACTCTCCGGAGATGTTTTTCGGCGTGCGCAACATTTCGATTTTTCCAGTCGCGTATCACCTTACGCTCCGTAAACTGGACTGTAAGCGCGAATTGAGATGGATTGAAGAAACCGTCCCGTTTACCTAACTGCGGCCATGATGGATCGTGGAGTTATCGACGGAAATCTGTAGGACCGACCGACTTCTTTCGTTCCAGTCGCGTGATTGATGAGTGGACTGGCCTCCCCCCTGGCTCCTCTCCCAACCCCCGCGACAGGGAACAACCCGAGAAGCGAGTAAACAGGTTAAGACTCGATGCAGTAAACGGGACGCTTTAGCTTTTAAAAGTTTATTTTTACATACACCCATCTCGACCGGTTGGCCTTGTACGCCGCGCGGACATCGCTTGTCCTCCTCCTCTCCCTCCCCTTTTATCTTGCCAGATAAATCGACGAGAGCTCCAAAAATAACCATTTGTGGATGTTCAATAGAAGAACGAATTTATGGTCTGTTACATAACTGGGAGGAGGGAGGAAAGCCACGCGCTCAATCGGGACGAGGCTCACTCGTCTCTTGGGGTATGAGAGCTTCTAGGAGGGGTTTCCAAGGGGTGTGATGCGTTGTCTATGCGTTTCTGCCATTGCTGTTGTTTCGGGGGGGGGGAGGAGGAGGAAGGAGGCAGTCGATAATTCTTTTCGAGACGGCTGCCAACGAGCACACCGGAATGTGCAGTTTGACAAAGTGTTACGTTTCGCCAGTGACGTTCCCGCGGATCGACTTCCAAAATTAGAGAATCTCACTTTTCGGAGTTTGGGCTTTTTACTTGCCTAATCGATTTCTACGCTTTTATACATTCTTCGCAATCACGCCTTAACGTCCGCTAAGCCGTATGGGATCGAAGTGTGCCAAGGCCAAACCGGGCAACAATGACTCGGGCATAGCTCACCTGGCGGTGCGAGTAGCCTTTCGAAAACGTTTTAAAAATTACCTACTCCCGGAGTCTGGCTAATTCGGTCCCGCTACTATTTCAAGGACAGTTGGCAGACTGTTCTCGTTAATGGCTTCCCCCATTAAAAAACCTCCCCCTTCGTGCGATTCTATCCTCTTTGTTTTCGTCCGTGCCGACTTTTCTAATCGGTGGAAGAAGTTCCGGAATGTTCGCATCGGTGACAGGTCGGTGACCTTTTTTCCTAACCGGGAGGTCGTGTTAAAGTTGGTAATTCGCGTGACGGAAAGAAAGAAAGAAAAAAAAGTCGCAAGATGGAGTCCCGAAAGCCATTCTTTTGCGTCGCTTCCGCACTGCGCTTCCGTTTTCCGCTCCGATGTTCGGAAATCTCCCCACCTGCTCCGGGATACGCCAAACGGAAGTGCCGCTCTCGCCCCCCCCACGTCCCTTAGCCCCGGCAGATTCCGACTTTGCACGTCTTGGGTCTGACGTCATCGCTTCCTGTCACGTGATACTGCATTATGTCAGTTACTTCCTGGCACATCATTCTCTCTTACCAATCGGCGGGGCAAACGGCGTGTAATGACGTTTTCTTTCTTTCCTGTTAAAAATCGTTAGGCAGTACAAACAAATGACGCGTGTCTCGGGATACAGGACCGCCGACGAGGTCAGTCGGCGTTGCTGGAAATCACGACGTCGACCTTTGACACCAGTTCTGTCTCACTAGAAACCGGGGGTGGGTCTAGAAGAGGCACCGTGCGAAGCTATCGAGTTACATACGCCCGGACGATTTTTTGTTTTCTTCCTCCCCTTCCCGACGTTTTTTAACGCATTGGTTAATTCGACTCCGGCGATTATACTTAAAACGGGGAGAGCGGGACGAAAAAGTGGATCCGTCCCATTCCGTCTCTCGCCCATGCTATTCCCAACACGGTAACGCCATCTCGAAACGATAAATTCCTTTTAGTCTACGCGGCTGCACTTCTGACAATCGATAACTTCACCTGCCGATTCAAATCGCCTTCGGACGATAATTATCCGTCGCCATTTTGAATCGTTTCTGTCATCTCGCTCTGTCCCGCCCGTCGCATGCAGATGACGACGACGACGACGAGGAAACAATTCGAGTTAGGGACCTTGAACGATTATTGTTGTTGTTGTTGTTTGATTTTTCTTTCCTCGTCACGAGACGAGGCCCGGCCTGGGTACCGAAAATTACTAGCAGAGGTGACAGAGGTTTTTCTGTGTTTGTTCTAGCCAATAGAAAAATGCCGGCACGCATTTATTTATTTTTTCTATAAACTGACTTATTGCGCGACAATCTCCTTATTCGTCTCGGTTACCGAAACAGATTCCTGCGACAATTTCGGTTACCGAAATTCTTCGAATTCCTTTCTGCCCGCTTGAATAATATATATATATTTGAATAAACTTTCCTCATTCTGTTAGGCGGTTGCTAAAACTCGGTCGGATAATATTTTGTTTTTATTGGGGTGTGGAAATGTCGCATCGGTCTTATTTTTTTATTATTAAATAAATGGACAGTTAATTCCCCAGAAGCCGAAAAGTTTCCCTTTATTATTACCTTTTTATCTGATTTAGCCACGCGTCTGGGGACCGAAACTTCCCTATTTTCCTTTTTATCCCTTTTACCGATATTTTTGGACTCGGCACTTCCTCGTGTTCCTAATAACCAGAAATGCCCGTGGGACCATATATGCCTGCGACCTTAGCGAGATAAACGCGAAAGGAAGAAAGAAAAAAAAAAAAAAGAATGGCGTAAACTAAATTTAGCTTGTAAATTAGTACGGTATCAATAAGGAAGCTTTATCAAATTTAATTTGTTTACATTACGTCTCGGTTAGTTACTAATCCACAATGCACCGCTCTAGTGTGTTACGACATCCGAACGTTTTCGTCACCCGATTCTGTTACGTTCGATTTGGCGGAAGAATGCAGTTTTTAAAGGTATTTCGTCGCGCCGCGAGGGATTTTTTTTCTTTTTTTTTAAATATTTCTTCTGTTGGAAGGAATTTCTCGGCGTCGTATTTTTGGGTTGGGTCCACGAAAATTGCGCGCAACGCCACGGACGAGGCGGGAACAGGTGAGCGATTGTGTCAAAAACGAATTCGATCGAGTGTCGCATCCGCAGACAAGTGCGCAAAACTCTACCTGGCCGTATAGGTTAATGACCTTGATGTCGGCATCTAGCGCGCGACGTCGCTTAGCGACCGCGGTGCATCTCTCTCTCTCTCTCTGGAACACGCGCGATGACTCGCTGTAGGCCAGCTGACAGAATGCGCGCGCTGTTCGGTTTTGGGGGATTTTTTGGAAGTGGCAGTGGGCCAGAGGTACGGCGTCCAGACACGTTAAATTTCGCACCTGGCACCGACGTAGACCGACTCAGACGTCTCGGGACGTGAAAAACGCGTCGCGCGCGAAGAATGACGGATGGAGAAGCGTAAAAGAGAACGGGATTAGTTTTTGGAAAAAGCAGGTGCGGGTTTATCTCTCCTCTCGTACTTTTGTGCATCTCCTAATGCATTTGGGGAAACAACCCGCACAACCGGTTTGCAACGAAGAAAGTAGAACCTCAACAATCATCCGAGTAAAGGTTAGCGGGTCGGTTGCACGTGCGGGTGACATCCGGGACCCTCATATGGGTCATTGACACGGCTTAATTTTTTTTTTCTTTTTTTCTTTTCTCTCCGTCGAAATTTCTGCAGTGTTTTCGCCTTTCTTCCTCCCACCTCCACCAACGATTCTTACTTACGGTTCGTTCGTTGGTAGCTGTTTTCGCCCTCCCCTCCCCCCGGGCGACTTCCTCGTCCGCACGTGGCCTACACAGCACACTAACCGTGACCACCATTTTTTCCCGTTCCCTTCTCGTCTGTGGCCGGGGTTCGTTCACCTCGTTAGGAGTGTGACGCTACGCATGCCCAGTGACGGCACGAGGGCGGAGTCCGTCCGCCTGACCTCGAGAGCGCGACGCGGTTCTCGCGCAAAAACACTTCACCGTTTGTCCGAAGATTTAGCGAGAAGCCGGAGGAAGCACCGCATTTCCGGTCGAGCGCGACTTTTTCTGTCGTCGTCGTCGTCGCCGCCGCCGCCGTTCTTATCTCGGAGAAATCTGTTGAGCGTTCCCGCGGTCGACGCTTCGCAACCGTCGTCTCCCTTTTCGATTGTCTTAGATTATTAGTTTATCCTCCACCCGCCATTGGCAATTGGGTCACGCCGTTTCTCTTCGCAACGGTAAATTGATCGTCGATACGTATCGCCGCCAGACGTCGCACAATGCCTCCGTTTTGCTGGCCGAAACCCTCGTTCTTCTTCCCCTCTCCATAAACAAGTTTGATCGTCGTCTTCCGACCCTGACCCGTTTGGCGGTCGAGCGGGCAGATGGCCTTTGCTTTTAAAACTTCGGTGGAAGAAACGGCGGCGTAAATAATCCGAAGGACGAACGTCTCCCGATTTATCGTGCAAACTTTCCCCGTCCCGTTTCCTCGGTCACTACTACTACTACTACTACTACTATTCGCGGTATCGATCGCCCCGGCCACTTCCGGTACTTTTAGCAGTCGCATTCGTCGCTACGGATCTAGTTAGAGCGCAATTAAGCTGCCGCCCCGAGAAGGAAAAATGGCGCTTCGACGGAGCTCGAAGAAGGGAAATAGTAATAATAATAATAATAAAGAGGACGAAAAACGAAACTCCGCGGTAATAGGATACCCCGAAATATTTTCTGGCACCGTCGTGGGTAGCTTCCCACACGCACGAGATGCGTTAATGCCACCTGGAACGGAGTTATGACTTTCCGTCGTCCCCGATTTACCAATTAAAAATGTCGTTTCGCGCGCGATCTTCCCCGCGACGCCCGCGTATCGCGTCCGACTTTTTCGAAATTTGTACGTACTGTACGCAATTAACGGTGTGTGTGTGTGTGTTTTAAAAGTGTTTCGTAATAAAACTCGTTTTCCGAATGGCCAAAGAATGTTGTAAAAGAACGATCGAAGCGGGGAGATAGTCGCTTAATGATTGTTGCCAGCTTTGACCGTGACCTCTCGCTCGTCTTGACTTTGTATGTGACGTGCCAAAGTCGTCCTGTCTCTAGCTTCTGCACAAGTCTTTCTTCGACTGGTAGGAGGGGGAAGTTGTCTGGCTGGTTCTCTTTTCTACTTGGAAACTGTTTATACATTTCTTTGTGCTTTGGCAGATTGCCCGACACACTCGTTTCTCGTCATTAGGCTAACTATTATAATACGGTTATTGCATATGGCTGCGACTATTGCGGTCTGGAATTATAACTAACGAGGTGTGAATATTTAACGTTATTCCAAAAAAAAAATATAAATAGCAATTTTAATTATTTAAAAAAAATCAAAATGCCCGTTTAGATATTAAATTAATATCACGAATGACGGATTCCCTCTTTCGCGTCTGGTTGATTTTTCTCTATGACAAATCTCGTGCGACGCGTAGTCGATCGGACTCCGCCCTTTATGGAACTTTTCGATCGTAGATTTCGGTTGATCGTTTCGTGGGGAGGGGGAAATTTTGCGGTTTTTTTTACGGATATTTTCTAGCATCTAATTGGTAGTTGCCGATAAAAATCGGCGACTTTTTAACCGCGTATAGGTATAATTCGTCGAATTCGAAGATAAATCAGTAGATAATCGGGCATTTAAGGATTTATCGGTAGACGCGTTAAATGTCGGCCGAGAACTGCGAATATTGATCCGAATACATTATAAGCAAACAATTAAAGAACAGTTTTATATGGAAATTATACGTTTAAATCGCATTTCAATTTCGAAACACTTTTTAAAATAAAATATTAATATAATTTCTTACGACGTAATTAACAACGAATTTTAAAATATTAAAAGTAATTTCGGTAGACGAGAGCGTAGAAATTCCCGAAAACAATCGGGGATATTTTAATAATAATAATAATATTTTTTCCCTTCCTCCTCGAACCGATTTTGGCGTATATTAATTTTATTTCTGGTTTAACGAGTATTAATTTTTATCTTTTTTCTAGTGTCTGGCTGCCGGTGGATTAACAGTTGTACAAGATTGAGAATGCATTATGGTCACAGGGAATTACGATCCTGACACAAAAATTCTACCAAAGCAGGATATAATTCCCTAAAGCAATTATTACTTAAAGACTTCTTTCAAGGTGGGTATTATTCTTAATAAATATTTATTAACGGTTTAAACAATATGTTTCAATTAGGCATTTATATCGTATACCATTGTTAACATTACAAGTTTAAGGTGGCGTGCCGTAGCGCCGAGATTAACGTTTTGCACGTGATTAATTACAATGGCGTCACGTTAATTGTCGTAATATTTTAAACATTATATACCGAAATACGTTCTAGATGTTCGTATATTGTTACGTTTTTCTCGATAATTTCCAAATCGCGATCGCATGCAACCGGTACTCGATATTGTTTGCAGAATTTCCATGTTAACAAATACTCGGGATGACCTAATTTATATAGGAAATATCTCGAATAATATTTGAAAGATAACTCGCGTAATTACGTATATACGTACGTATGTTTAATTGTATACACTCTACAGTAGCAATTACATACATATATACATTAATAAACATTTAATTACATATACACATACTTTGATATATTTAATTGATTAAAAATAGATAATATATGTACAGTAATACCTCGACTTACGCTACCCCGACTTATGCGAACCCAGAGTTACGCGATTTTCAAATCTCGTCGATTCTTCTTTTGTTTGAACGCCGCGCAACTCTTGATTACTCACTCCCTCCACACTATTGTTCGGCTTACATGTTCGGACGTGTCGCGCGGAATCGACACATAGCTACAATTTATTTTGTGTTATTTATTTCTGTGTTTGTAATATCTACGGAGACTCGAGAGACTCTGTGTGGTGATTTCTTGTAACCGTGAACGAATCAAAAGACGAGATAAGATTAACGACAACATTTATTAGCTTACATACATCTGACTTGGATTTTACACAAATTGCGAAATTATACCCCGACTTACGCGAATTCGACTTAAGCTGTTATCGCTCGGTCCCACCTATCGCGTAAGTTCGGGGTATTACTGTATATAAAGAGACGTGATTTTTCATTAAAATTAATCAAATAAATAAGTCGGTTAACTAATAACGTAACTTAAACTTTCGCGTAGGAAATTCCGATTAAATAATACGTAAAACTTTTCGAACCGTTGTTTTTAAATTGTCTAAAGAAAAATCAAGTAGTTAGGCGTGCGAAATTTGTTAATTGTTTAAATGAAATTATATTTGATAATTCTTAAGTATTTGATATAATTTTTTGAAGTTTAATAAGTGATTGTTATAAAAGTTAAGAATTTAAGTAAATAGACAATTATTCGTTTAATTTCCTATATCGATACGTCCGTTTAACGAATATCAAGAAATATCTACGACCGCGAAAAAAGTTACGAAATACAGAACAGTTTATCGATTTTTAAACGGGTTTCGTTTAACGATTAACATATTATGTCTTTCCAATTTTATAATTATAATTAAATCGTAAATTAAATTATTGCGACAAATCTATATTTTTAAATCATATTATATAAACTTACCCATTTGTAATTGTGTTAGAAGGAAACGTTTGACCGTATAATAATCTAATTTTATTTATTAATGTAATACAATAAGTATTGTTGTTTTGCATAATAATTCTTTTCCAAACTTAATAATTGTAGATACTGCTTTATTGATTCAAAAATAGGTTTTCTTTTTTTTAATGTCAATTGGTTGTATTAAAGTATCTATAGTTTTAACAGAAATTTATTATTATTTTTTTTGTAATGAAAACTATTAATCATAAAACTATCTAGAAAAAGACAGTAATTGTAATATAAAGTTTAGAAGGATTAAAATATTGATTTTGTTAGAGCAAAAGGAATAAATGGAAAGATTATATTTAGAAAGAGTGATATTGATTTGTAAAGAAATTAATTTTGAGATAAATTAAACTACCGAATAAACGTTGTTATTATCCTTAAAAATGAAAAATTTGAATATTTTGCGCTGTTTTTTTTTTTTAAATAATGTTAAGGCACAAGCTTTAATGGCAACAACTAATACACTCTTTACAGTGGCAAATCCTCTGGGTGGTCAGTTTTTTTTTAAAATATTTATAGAAAGTTTGCTACTTTTATTTAGGTAAAATCTTGATATTAAAAAAAAAAAGTCCATTAATATTGAAAAGGAAATTTGCTACATTACATCAAAAATGCTGTCATTAAAATTGAAAAGTACATGAAATCTAATTTAAGATTTTGTTTTTTTTTTTTTTTTTTGAATTACGTAAGTAAAAAAAAGGTGTTGCTAAATTATATGTAATATATTTTTGATTAAAAAATATATTTGTAATTGTCTGTACTAAAATTTTAAAAAATTCTCAAATTTGAGGATTTTTAAATTTGCATTTTTTTTTTTTACTTGATTTTATGAAATTTTATTAAAGTAATGTTTCTATCGTTCAATAATTCATTTTCGCAAGTGTCAGAGATTGATACAGCGTATATTGATTTATTTGCTGTAAGAATACATACAAAGTTTTATTATGAACTCTTAAGATTTCATTTATATTTTAAACATTATTAGATAGGAAATAATGCGATATAAAATTCTAAAGAATGTTTATTGAATTAGAGAAATGTATTACAAGAATTGGTTACATTGTTGTTAAGTAATTTTAATACATTTTGATATATTTAATTTAATTTTTTTTTTTTATTATAAGGTTAAATTTCTCAGAAAAGAATAAATAAATATCTTAAATGAATATAGTATAATTTACTTTCTAACAAAACAATTTGTATTGAAAAATTCCTTTGTGTTATTTTAAGCGTAAATTAATTCTGAAAAGAAAAAAACAAACTATAATTAAATAATAGGAAATGAGCTTATTTTAATTTTAGACTATACTGAAAATTTATTTTTCATTATAGATTGCAAGTTATAGATGTAAGCTATTGATTTCCTTTACAGGAATACTGTTACATAATTTAATAGAACATAATCTTGGAAGGAATCACTTATTTTAGCATTTTTTAAAATCATTTTATAACTTTTTTATTAAATCATACATTTTAAAGTAAGTAGGCTTGTTACAAGTTTTTGTTATTAACCATAAAGCTATTTCAGTACTTCAAATAATTTTAATGGCTTTTCTTATTACATAAGATAGAGCAAAGTTTGTATTTCATATCCTATATCATATTTTATGTGTAGTGATATATTTTATGCAATAAAATATAACCGGTTATTGTTTTGCATTTTAATATAAACAATTCTTAGGTATGAGGAATTGATAAAAGCTTGATAGATTGAAAGCTAGTTAGATAAGTCATGGTGCGTGTGTTTCAAATTTAAATATGTTTTAGTTTGTGTATATATGAGATTTGTTTTATAAATTGCCATATTTGTTTTCATATAACAAACATATGTTAGGCAGCAGCTTTTTAAATAACATTTTACTTAGATAAATATTATTCTAAATTCAGATTTTCAAAATGGAATTTGAGACAATACGAATTGACTTTTCTTTCTGTTGAATAATTTTAGGTTTTGTAATTTTAATATTAACTGATATTTTGTCTTATTCTCAGCTTTAATTTTTAATATATAATTTGATTAATTTGTAATAAATCATTGAATATTTAACAATGAATGAAAGCCTATGTAAGATTTTAATGTTTTGTAATATTTACAATTATTTCTATTTAATAAATTTATCTTAAGATCATTATATTAAAATAATTTCACTTCTTATTTTTATTCTTTTGTTTCCTTGTCATTAAAAAGTTATACAGTATATTGAAGTTAACAATGATATGGGAGCATACAGATAAGTAATGCGAAATAATTTGAATGAATAACAAAATTCGGTTTCAGACAAAATAACAGGAGAAAGAAAGCTTAAGTCTGCTGAAGTTTTGAGACAATCCAAAAAACTGATTGAGGTTGGATTCTTTCCAATAGCATTATAAACTTCTACCCATCGGTAGAATTTGGAATGTTTTAAAACTTTGTTGTCTCCCGTTTGTCTTATTCTGTTGTTTCACCTGTAAGATGAATCATTTTAAATGAAAAGTTTTATGTAATATTTAAAATTTTTTTTTCTTGTATGCATTTCAATTGTTTAACATGAAATCTTAAATTTGACGATGCCAAAAATTTAATGTTATAATATTTGTGGACAAAATATAATAATAAACACACAAAACAATGTTACAAAACTTTCGACGCTAAAAGGATTTTTACTTTTTTTTTTTTTTTAAAGCTTCGTCAGTTACAAGATATTTGAACACTGCAAGAGTAACATACTTAGTTTATTTGAATATCTTATAACTGATGAATCTTAAATGAAATAAAGTGCCTTTAGTATCAAGTGTTTTAACATTGTTTTGTGTGCTTTTTCATTACATTACATTAGTCTATAATGTCGGGATTCTACATGCCGTATTTGTATAACATTTTAAATTTTATGAATTTTTTGCAAAAAACATAATCTAATTTAATAAAGATATTTTTCAAAAATTTTAATAAAAAGAATTTGATAGAGATAATGAAATTAATGTGTGTGGGTGTGTTTGTTTTTCATTTCCTCTCAAAATTTAAATGCGTTATGCAATGATACATGTTGACTTAATGTAATTTAAATCCATAAATGTATATGAAAATTATAAATTAATATCATAGATACATCACTTTAAGATAAAATTGCTATATTTGAATTGTTTTTTAATAATAATTATAAATTATTTAAAATTTTGTTGATTTATGTATTTCAAATTTAAAAAAAATTTATTCTTTTTATTAATTTTATAATTATTTTCAGACTGCAAAAATATTTATATATTTTTAAATTATGTATTATTTGTTTTATTTTTGTATAAAAGAACATTATTGTAATATTGTATTTACTAATTATTAATTAATTTAATTTTTATTGATTATGTTAAACTTTAGAAGTATGACATCATTAGTAAGTTTGTAAACTATTTTGTTATTGAAGTACTGAATTGAAAAATATTGACTTATAAGTTGACCTAACTTACAAAATATAATTTATATTCAAATATATTAATATTTTAATGTCACATTGTGTATCTTTCTTTAAATTCCAGTTGTTAT